TGTAATATAATCAGTGTGGTGAAACAGAAATTAGCATTCTCCCTGAATTTCTTCGTAGGCAGTATTAGTGTAAACTCTTAATCTAACTGACGGTCATATTCCTGTTCACCTGTAAGCTTTAATCTCGGAAAAGACGTATGTATTTGGATTCTCGATTTTTTCTTTTATATTGGCGCGGCACATGTAACTAGGGGTATTCGCATCATATTTTGCTTTTATCCAACGAGGTCTGTCTCTGCACTAATTTCTCTCATAAGGGCACTCAATGGAACCCCACATCGTTAGGGAGAGAGAGCCCACACCAAATGCCGAAGACTAACTTGCCGCTCATAAATTGGTGCAAAATGCTGCCTAAAATAACTCAGAACTAGTTTTTACACATTCAAAAAGAAGCTTCGCCGTCTGCCTTATTATTTCTGATAAAGTCCTCGTTAACCACTGGTCTGACATGTTTGTAAATTACTGATAAGTTGGCGCTCTTGCCGATCACTGCCCAATTGATTAGCTTTGAACACTTTTTCCAGCCTTAATTTCTTACTTGTACTTGGTGTGGCTGCAATCATACTTGACCTAACCGGCCTCGATGATGTAGTAGACTGCCCCCCTCCACGAGTACAGATTCGCGACAGCAGGTCTGGGTCCCTTTACTCGCGATGGGGATCGGATACTGAATTTCTAGAAGCCACTCCCGTGTCTTGATAACTGTGTCGAGTTAGGTCTTGAGTTTACACCTTATTTGACGTCTCTAAGTGGGTAATGGCACCTAATGTAGGACAGCGCTATTAAGCTTTTGAGGTAGACGCAAAAGAACCTGCCTCAATAGCCTCAGTCGTCTTTTTTGGGTTGCCTAGGATATATTTGCGGTTTTCTCCCAACGATTTTGAACTGTTTACTTTGAGATAGAGTTGGTGTACTTCACTCTAATAATGTTTCTCGAGCATTACTTGTCGAAGAGTTCCTTTTTCTTTTCATCTTCTACGCGCACAATACGTGCGAATTTTCGCGGCGATAGAGATGTCGCCTCCGATCCATAGACACTTTCTAAGCTTTGAGAAACCCCAGTGAGGCTGCCCATTCGATAGCAGTCTAGCTTTGAGATATTTGAAGCGGTTTTCTTCAGGTTGGCAGCCATTTATCGCGGCAGATGACTTTTCCTGGTCAGGGATATAACTTGAAAACATTTCCTAGCGTTTATGGAGAATGCGATAGATTTAGTGACCTCGTTAACCCGGGACACCAGGTCACCAAAGTTTTAAGCTAGCAAGGAAATATCTTCAGTTTAATCGAGCTCAGGCACATAGCGTTCGGGTGCCATCCTAACACCGTTAACTTCGTGTGCGGTCCTTCCTAGAATCCAGTCAATACCACGGTTGGACACAATATGACCTTGTTGAATACCAGACCGATTACCGAACGATTGGAAGACATTTTATGGGTCAGAACTCGCGCAGTGACAGAGCGGTAGTAGGCTTTCATTATGGTAGTATTTTTTTACCGGTACCCCATCTAGCGCTATTATCCACCATGGAGACTCAGTTGGAATCGGACACATTGGCAAAGTCAACAAGGTAGACAACCATCAGTTGCAGAGGGCTTACCACTAATTTGGTGAATAATTTGGTAATTTTCGCGTGTCAGCAACGTTTGAGACCTGCTTCGTAAAGATCGCTATTCCAGTTCAGTATTTCTTCCGGTTATCTTTAGCCGACTTCATCGTCGTCTTTTAAGGTTGGTGAAAGAAATTGTTATGATGGGAAACGTCCGAGCAGACAATGGCAGGATTATTCCGCTGCCCCAATCGCTATGGCGTCGTAGGGCGTGTCCAAGAATTTTCTCAGCTGCCTCAGAGTGGAGTCTGCAATGATGACCACTGCCTTCTCCGTCGACTCGGGTCGTAAAATAGGATCTGATTTTTGTACTCGGAGTCTCAGTCGTGCTGATTTGACAGATTTTTGCAACATTAAGACGGCTACCTCGCAGCATTTTGGGCGCGGATGAGAGGTGAACTTTCAAGTGTGTGGATGAGAACATGGTCTAGCCATGGGTGTTACCAGTCTTGGTACCATGCATCGATCTCCTATTATAAACCCAGCTGCAGATCTTTGAACTGCCTAAATTACAGTCGATCAGACCGACCATATGACCATTCTTTACATAGCAGATCAGCAGATGTTTTGGGAGATTTCGGAGGCAGGTGTTGGTGACAAACAGTCGGTTACAATCAGCAAAGTTCAGCAATCTCCCCCTCGAGAACGATGCTCAGAGCGGCCAATAAGTTAACTGTTGAGTCGTCAGGTTCATTTTAGCCATTCTAGTTTCCCGTCAACGATCAACCAATCGCGACGACGGAATCCTTCAACTAACACTTTCAGCTGCTAGCAAAAGCCTTTTTTGTTGCGCTGTTCAGTAGCTAAAGTGGGTGCGTATATGGAGACTAGAGTTGTTTGTGAAGTGGTCCTTCAGCTGCATATAA